GGCCTATTTGTTTTACAATGCTAATTCAGAATTCAACGTTTTGGTTGGATACACATGTAATATGCTCAGTAGGTTTAGGTTGTTAAAAGGAATTATAATTAAATAATACAAAGCGGAACAATTGATTTTACAATATTTAGGTATTTGGTTATAAAGTCGCCTTCTTTTAAAAAAAACTATAAGTGAGGTAATAAGGACATTTAAATTCAGAAAATGAACAAGAAAGCAAAAAAAAGTTTTATGTTTGCAGATTAAACTGTATAGAACAAAAATGTTTATATAATTTATAATTTGAAAATTTAAACATTGATTTTGGGCTTTTATTATATTTTAATCAAAGATGTATTAAACGAAGGTCCTAGGACCTTGTGATCAAACACCGTTAATAGACCACTTGTGATCAAAGACCCTCTGCTGAGAAAACACATGTGGTCAAATACCCTATGGTCAAACCCCCTATGATCAAACCGCCTATGGTCCATGCACCGCTATGGTCAAAGGCCCGCTGTGGTCAAACCCCCTATGGTCAAAGCCCCTATGGTCAAAGCTCCGCTGTGGTCAAACCCCCTATGGTCAAACCCCCTATGGTCAAAGCACCTGTGGTCGAAGGTCCGCGCACCTAAACGAAATAGAGACAATAAAATTACATAAAGGCTCACCTTCAATTTTGATTTCAAGGGATACTTCTCATATATTTTGGATCCCCGTTCGGAGACAGGCCTAAAAATATATACAAATTCGGTGGGGCAACAACAAACGAGCTCCCCGACAAAAGGCAAAATTGGATCCGAACATTTGTGCGAGTGATGTTTTTCCAGTGGCGGAGCCAGGTTCGTCTTACGTGGGGGTTATCAAAACTTTCATTTATATATATATATATATATATATATATATATATATATATATATATATATATATATATATATATATATATATATATATATATATATATATATATATATATATATATATATATATATGTTGTGTATATATATTTATGTGTAAGTGCGTGTGTGTAAAGTATTGGTGGCTGGTGACAATAGAAACTCGTGGGTGCAATCGACTAACAATGAATCCCAGTATCTTTATAATAGCTACTGGTTTGTAACGAGCAACACATGTACACTTTCGTACAAAAATTGTAAAATTCAAATGTTATAATAATAACTAAAATATTGAGAGGACGCAATAACAATACTATAACAAAGCAGCAGATAAAAGTACTTATAACATTACTTAGATACAATTGTAGTTCAAGTCTTCTTGAACTCTTGCCTAATCAATCAAGAGTCTCATCCACTAAAATTACGATTTCTCGGTGAATATTTAGTAATGCCAATCCATTTAGTCTATCCTTACAAGTAGGATTTCGCAAGTATGTTTTAAGCCGTCTCAGAGTGGGATAAGAGCGTTCGCTGACGGCAGTTGTTACAGGCAATGTTACAAATATTTGCATCTTTTAAGTGTTATGACATTCTTTTCCTGTTATTTGGTAAAACCCGAGTCATTGGGCAAAAGACACATAAAACGCCCAAAAACAGATTTATGTTTTGGCAACATGTCTCCTATTTGACGTAGAACGGAATCAAGGGAATGAATAAATACAGCTATTCTGTAATACTCTCCAGGATTATTTGCCATCACATTGCAGCGTTGAATTTGTTTTCCAGCTCGACGTGGAATAAGTATATCTATGTCGAAGTCCTCACACATGTCTTTGACTTTATTAAATACGGTAGTAAATTCCGATTCAGCATCCTTACGCATATTCACTTGTAGGCTACTTTAATATTTTGTACATTTTAGAGCCGCAGATAGATCAAACGTTTCAATTTAGAGTATTCTGCTGACATGAAATATTTTTGCAAAGATTTTTTAAATATATATTTCTAAGAGAAACTTGAAACTTAAGACTCCTAAATGCTCCTAAAAGTTGAACCGCTGTTGAAACAGTTGTTGTATCATGACAACAAAGGGCAACCCACGTACCATATCCATCCCCTTCGTCACTCCTAACTGATCTAACCTTGGCCTACTGCGTTCCATATTATTATACATTTAGCGCGATAATAAAAATCGAAACTAAATTCTACAAACAATTATCATTACAATGGTATACATGGTCGTTCTAGAGGTTGCCAGGCTCAAGTGTTTAGTGTTTAAGCCCTAAATGATATCGACACTAGTTAATAGCTGTAGCTTAACGTACAAAAGTAGTCATTTTGGGGGTCCATTGTGGGGTGAATCTTTGTAGCCAGTGGCGTAGGCCGGGTGGGGGGCTGGGGGGATTTATAACCCCACAATTGGCCCCCAAAAATGACTACTTTCTTGTTCATTTTCTGAATTTAAATGTCCTTATTACTTCCCTTATAGTTTTTTTTTTTTAAAGAAGGCGACTCTATAACCAAATACCATTGAACTTAATATATTTGTATCCCGCCAAAACATTTGCTGTAATAGTTTATCTGCGGTGGTTAAATTAGATTGTATGGATACGATTATGTTATTTGCAATGACCAGCGTTAAGGTTTGAATAGCTAAATCAATATAATAACCACACAATTGGAGGCATTTTGGTTCTATAGTCGCCTCATTTCAAAACTAATGGTAAGGGAGTTAATACAAAAAAGTAATTGCAGAAAATGAATAAACAAAGACATTTTTTTAATTAATAGAAGATTGAACTGAATAATAAAATATATGTTTTCTTTATATTCGAAAATAAAAACGATTTGATGCTTTATTTTAGGCTTTGACCTTTTAAATAGAAGATGTATAAAACACACATAGACCGTAACATTTCGTAAATACATTTGTTATAGGCCAGATCATTTACTCTTGTTGATAACATATTTGAAAAGTGCCTTAACTAGTTATTTTGGATCCCTCATAATGGGGCACAAATAAAAACATAAACATTATTTCTTTGCATTATATTTTATAGCGGTTTAATACAATTTATGTCACAATTTGTGAATACATTATATGCACCATCCACTTAACAAAAAAAAAACAGTGGAATGTATTTTTGAAAGCTATAAATAATTAGTGCTACGTCAACTAATTTCTATTCTATATTGAGAAATCGATTTGAAATATTGCCCAATTTGACAAATAAATAAGGTCTCTGAACGATACATTTGAATTGCAAGGTACCGCTGTAGAAATATAAATAGAGTTAACAGCCCCTCTCTAAATACATTAGATAAAACGTGACAGGTCTAGACACACACAATGTGTCGACAAAATGGCAGCTTGTGTACATTTCGTAGACACATTTTCATTGACTAAACATACTACAGACTGCCGCAGACTTTTTTTTTTCTACAGAATATTTCAAACATTTCAGATAAGGTTTGAATAGCTAAATCAATATAATAACCACACAATTGGAGGCATTTTGGTTCTATAGTAGCCTCATTTCAAAACTAATGGTAAGGGAGTTAATACAAAAAAGTAATTGCAGAAAATGAATAAACAAAGACATTTTTTTAATAAATAGAAGATTGAACTGAATGATAAAATATATGTTTTCTTTATATTCAAAAATAAAAACTATTTGATATTTTATTTTAGGCTTTGACCTTTTAAATAGAAGATGTATAAAACACACATAGACCGTAACATTTCGTAAATATATTTGTTATAGGCCAGATCATTTACTCTTGTTGATAACATATTTGAAAAGTGCCTTAACTAGTTATTTTTTATCCCCCATAATGGGACAAAAATAAAAACATAAACATTCCAAGAGATGGTGACCATTCTAGCGAGACACGTGATCTCATTAACCATTGACCGATAGGAAAAGTGCAGGTCAACTTTCGTATGTATATTGAGTTGTCACCCCATTCCCAAAGACAATTTGGGACTGCCGACCGAAATAGACCTAGATGTAGTAAAGTAGAAAAAAATGTGTAGGCTAGATTACCAGATAACACTCTTCATTACCAAATGTGTCACTCTCTTCAACCCTATACAACAACCAGGCTCAAATCACTAAATGTTTCACTCTCTTCAACCCTATACAACAACTAGGCTCAAATCACCAAATGTTTAACTCTCTTCAACCCTATACAACAACCAGGCTCAAATCACTAAATGTTTCACTCTCTTCAAAACTATACAACAACCAGGCTCAATTCACCAAATGTTTCACTCTCTTCAACCCTATACAACAACCAGGCTCAAATCACCAAATGTTTTACTCTCTTCAACCCTATACAACAACCAGGCTCAAATCACCACATGTTTCACTCTCGCCAACCCTATACAACAACCAGGCTCAAATCACCAAATGTTTCACTCTCTTCAACCCTATACAACAACCAGGCTCAAATCACCCATTAACCCCATGACGGTGGGTGACAGCTTGACGGCTATGAAAGAGCAGATAACCCGACCCCCCACACCCTTCCACTGCTCTAGGAGGATTAACAAACATTGAGAACTATCTTCACGAGATCCACCTTCCCCTCCCCACACATAACCCCGACAAAAAAAAAGGAAAATCACAATGAAATTTCATGACCTCATAACACATAGACGACAAAGACGATACTGTAGTGAAGGATAAATTCATGCCATAAGGACATAGGACGGGACAAGCTCAACTGATAACTCAGATAAACTCGGGGAATGTCTGAGCTACCTTGACCGAACTAAATTCATAAACACAGAGGTCATGACCTTAGAGACCACGAGACGACAGCGACGAGACATGTATATACAAAAAATGTGTGTACACACCAAGACGACAAATCGCTCACTGACTCAGTTGTTGATGTCAGTAAGGCGACTGATAAATGGGAAGACCACACGATTATTCCCCCTCTTCAATAAGTACAAGGGAATTGCAAGCGCAGATTTGGCAGCTTACAATTCCCCCCCCCCCTCCACTTCCCAACTGTAGACGAACATGCTGTGTAAACAGTCAATAGGCTAAGTTTACCGACCCCTGACTTAGCCTATATATATATATATATATATATGTGAGCGGCTGGAGTGTATTTTTATTATTTGTAACTTAGAAGGCGAATGTATCGTTTCGTTTCATGTCGTAAATTGTTCGTGGTTTTTAGTTGTGTAGTCCCGTATTATGGCGCCGCTGTCTCACTGTTTATGTCCCTGTTTATAGCTAGTTTGTATATATTTCGTTTATATTGTTGTCATTGTTTATATTAAGTGTCTTTTTATATAATTCTGTTGCATGTTTCGTGGCGTTTGGTTTGTAATCCGTGAATTAGGGACTATTTGTTTACGTGTAGTGTGTGAGGTGTGTGGAAGTCGTTTTCCGGCTGGTTGGTTTCTGTCTTTTTTGGTGTGTGGAAGGAGCGGTGAAGGGAGCAGGAAGTCTCTCTGTAAATCGAGTGTAGAGAACAGCAAACTCACACCATCCAGCCTTATTTATTTTGTGTTTGTGTTCGTCATAGTCCTGGTAAGTTAGATATAAGTTTATTTCTTTGCTATGTTTATTTTTTTGCTATGCTGTTTATTTTGGTTACTGGCCATAAGATTTTTGTGATTGTTTTCTGACCGCCATTGTGGTCAGGCCATGTGGACTCAGATTCTGAGTTTTTATGGTCATTTTATTACTTTGTGGTATCTCTTGGGCTTGTGTGAAGCCAAGGATACTGCTATTTATACTTGGCCCACAGTTATGGTTTACTCCTGGCTGTTGGGTTAAGTGGTATACGTATTCTATTGATTGTATCCCTTGGGCTGGTGTTAAGCCAGGGATAAAGGTATTTTTAGACTTGACCCGCAGCTACGGTTAAGTAGTAGAGTTGTTACCTGACCCACAGTCACGGTTCGTTCCGGACTGTCGGGTTTGGTTATAATATTGTTATCTTTATAGTGACCATTCGCTTCCTGTGGTGATCATGTTGATCCCCAGGAGAGTGTTCGGTTCGTTCTAGTCACTGTGAAGGTACACTTGTTTTTAATAGATTTTATTTTACTTGGCCTTTTGTTAGGCTGGTAACTGTGTTGAGCTAGTAGTTTGAGCTCAGTGTCCTGGCAGTGTTCCAGTTAATTGTTAAAGTATATTCTGTGTGAACTACCTGCAGGCGGTGGAGATGTAATCCAGCCAGCCTGTGGTTAATGCTTTGTATATAACTTTTCTTTGTAAAGTAATTAATTTATTTGTTTTCCTTTTTCTAGGACGAAGTCCGAAATTGGGTGTTTTGTTTGATGTAAAAAGTTTGTTTCGTTTGGTTCTGTTTTGTGTCAGTTTTATCTATTCTTTTTTTATAACTTTTGGTTCCATGCAATAAATTTTATTAAATTGTTAAAAGTTTTGTTTTATTTTAGTAGCTTATTATTTAGACTAAGGTTAGGGTTTAACCACTGTGGGTTCTACCACGGTTGCACTGACCGGACAGATTAGTTAGTTAAGCCTAGAAGGGTAGATTTTAAGGTATCCCCCCCTAGCAGGGCTTACAAATTGGTAGCACGAGTGGGGTCAGTGCTTTAGTCTAGTTAAATTTTTGTTTTTTTCTAGGGCTAGTGTAGCTTAGTTAAATTTTTTTGTTTTTGATAGGCCCTTTATGGAACCATATGTGTTTAGTTTTTGTTTAGTGTAGGAACCGTTTGTTGTTTAAAACACCCAATTCGGACGAGATGGCGGAGGTGGCACCAGCCATCATTATCGTTCCACCCAGGGAGATCCTCATCCGGAAGTTTCATGGGGACAGCCACGGCTATGATGTGGAACGATTCATTGACGAGGTCCAGTCTCTCTGGAGGGCCAGAAGAGACGTCTCAGTAGAAGAGAGGAAGGACCTTCTCTGGCAGTACCTGGGGGAAGCTGTGAGAGAAGAACTGAGCTGCAGGGGAGATGACCTGCAACATGACCCAGAGGCCTCCATCAGGCTCCTCCGAGAAGTCTATGGGGAGAAGAGGAGCGTCTCCCAGCTAATGGCGCAACTCCAAATGGTTGTGCAGGGCCAACACGAGTCGGTGAGGGCCTACTCGCACCGCCTGCACAAGGCCTTCAAGGCCCTTGTTGCCAGACAGGGCACCCTGCAGGTCCCTCAGACGAATGCTGAGTTCCTAAGGGACCAGTTTATGGAAAAGCTGAGCCAGTCCTCAGTCAGACGCCAGTTGCAAGAACTAGTTTTCAGGGACCCTAAGATCCCCTTCCTGGCCATACGGGATGCGGCCATTCGATGGTCTGGAGACGAGGACCCAGGTACAGAATCTGCCTATGTGGCAGCTCTACATGCACGCCCCAAGGAAGAACCCACCCTGCCCAGGTCTAAGCTGGAAGACAGGGTGGACAAGCTCGCAGAGCAGCTATCGGCTCTGTTGACTCAGTTGGCACAGAACCCTCAAGTGTCATCTAGCCGAAGGGTACCCCGCCGACGTCCAGAGGCGGAAACAAGAATGTGTTACAATTGTAACCAGCAAGGTCACCTCGCCCGCAATTGTCGAAACTCAAAGAAGCAGGAGGCCGCAGTGATTCAGAGTCTTACTACTGCTGGTGGGCAGAGCCCAAGCTCCACCATTCACAAGCTGGCTGGACAGTGCCCCACCCTGACTGTTTATTTACAAGGTGTACCGGTGACGGCCGTTATAGACAGTGGTTCGCAAGTCAGCACGGTCACTGAAACATTTTTTTACAGTAGCCTCAAGAACATTATCTTAAGAACAGACACACCCCTGTCCCTGAGGGCAGCAAATGGGTTGGCCATCCCATACAATGGCTATTTTATTACTGACCTGGAGGTCAATAAAGAAGAAATACGCGACAAGGGGTTCCTTGTGATAAAGGATCCAGTGGGTGGCTCAGCTCCACCCTGCTTGTTGGGCATGAACGTTCTCCAGGACCTGACCACATTGGCCCACCTGATCAAGCCTCCAGGGGTGACACCGAAGGTATGGCGAGGGGACAAGGTCCTCCGCCCCCGCGAAAGGACTCTGGTGTCTGCCAAGAGTGTACCAACCATTCAGGCGACGAAAGGGGACCCCGGAATGAAGGACGACAAGGTGGTGCAGCCATTAGACCAACCTTTTCACCCAGATCCGTCAGTGGTATCAGGCCCAACATCCTGCCTACGCGCCAGCATAACCAGTATAAAGGTGGACCAATCTAAGGAACTAGAGGCAATGGTTCCACCTAACCCATCCTTAATTAAGGCACCGGGTGGTGGTGCTGGGGGGATGCCCCCAGACAGAGTCGAGCAAGAAGGACAAGCAGGTCAAAAAGGCACCTGTAGCTGAACTGGCCATAGGCGATCTGGTCCTTCTGAGACAACCCCCACTAGGCAGACGCAAAATGGCAGACCTGGACGACGCGACAGTTTACGTCGTGGTCGAAGTACCTCCGATCACCGGCGGGTGTTACGCCATTAAAAAGAAAGATGGCCCTTCTGGCACCCGCCGGGTGGCCAGCACCCAGATCAGGAGATATGGGCCTCCCCGGGCTCAACCACCCTCCCCAAGGCCGGTCAAAGTGATACCGCCGGCTACTCCAGGTTACAGCCACATTATTTATAAGGTCCAATTGCCGGGGACCAGAGCAGCCGGTAACCCCACAGTACCTGACATACCTCTGCGTAGGTCGGTCAGGGAGCGCAGAGTCCCTAGTAGGCTAGACTTGTGATTGTGCCCTGTGGGCTGATTTTTTTTGACAATGTTTTTTTGTAAAATTTATGATTGTGCCCTGTGGGCTGATTTTTTTGCAAGTTCTTTTGCAAAGTTTTTTGTTTTTTTGTAACATATATGATTAGGCCCTGTGGGCTGATTTTCTGGCAAAGATTGTTTTTTTGTAATATTTATGATTGTGCCCGGTGGGCTGATTTTTTTGCAAGTTCTTCCTGCAAAGTTGTTTTGTTGTAACATTATGATTATGCCCTGTGGGCTGTTTTTTTCAAGTTTGTTAGCTTGCGGTGACCGCAAGCTTTAAGGGGCGTGTATGTGAGCGGCTGGAGTGTATTTTTATTATTTGTAACTTAGAAGGCGAATGTATCGTTTCGTTTCATGTCGTAAATTGTTCGTGGTTTTTAGTTGTGTAGTCCCGTATTATGGCGCCGCTGTCTCACTGTTTATGTCCCTGTTTATAGCTAGTTTGTATATATTTCGTTTATATTGTTGTCATTGTTTATATTAAGTGTCTTTTTATATAATTCTGTTGCATGTTTCGTGGCGTTTGGTTTGTAATCCGTGAATTAGGGACTATTTGTTTACGTGTAGTGTGTGAGGTGTGTGGAAGTCGTTTTCCGGCTGGTTGGTTTCTGTCTTTTTTGGTGTGTGGAAGGAGCGGTGAAGGGAGCAGGAAGTCTCTCTGTAAATCGAGTGTAGAGAACAGCAAACTCACACCATCCAGCCTTATTTATTTTGTGTTTGTGTTCGTCATAGTCCTGGTAAGTTAGATATAAGTTTATTTCTTTGCTATGTTTATTTTTTTGCTATGCTGTTTATTTTGGTTACTGGCCATAAGATTTTTGTGATTGTTTTCTGACCGCCATTGTGGTCAGGCCATGTGGACTCAGATTCTGAGTTTTTATGGTCATTTTATTACTTTGTGGTATCTCTTGGGCTTGTGTGAAGCCAAGGATACTGCTATTTATACTTGGCCCACAGTTATGGTTTACTCCTGGCTGTTGGGTTAAGTGGTATACGTATTCTATTGATTGTATCCCTTGGGCTGGTGTTAAGCCAGGGATAAAGGTATTTTTAGACTTGACCCGCAGCTACGGTTAAGTAGTAGAGTTGTTACCTGACCCACAGTCACGGTTCGTTCCGGACTGTCGGGTTTGGTTATAATATTGTTATCTTTATAGTGACCATTCGCTTCCTGTGGTGATCATGTTGATCCCCAGGAGAGTGTTCGGTTCGTTCTAGTCACTGTGAAGGTACACTTGTTTTTAATAGATTTTATTTTACTTGGCCTTTTGTTAGGCTTGTAACTGTGTTGAGCTAGTAGTTTGAGCTCAGTGTCCTGGCAGTGTTCCAGTTAATTGTTAAAGTATATTCTGTGTGAACTACCTGCAGGCGGTGGAGATGTAATCCAGCCAGCCTGTGGTTAATGCTTTGTATATAACTTTTCTTTGTAAAGTAATTAATTTATTTGTTTTCCTTTTTCTAGGACGAAGTCCGAAATTGGGTGTTTTGTTTGATGTAAAAAGTTTGTTTCGTTTGGTTCTGTTTTGTGTCAGTTTTATCTATTCTTTTTTTATAACTTTTGGTTCCATGCAATAAATTTTATTAAATTGTTAAAAGTTTTGTTTTATTTTAGTAGCTTATTATTTAGACTAAGGTTAGGGTTTAACCACTGTGGGTTCTACCACGGTTGCACTGACCGGACAGATTAGTTAGTTAAGCCTAGAAGGGTAGATTTTAAGGTATCCCCCCCTAGCAGGGCTTACATATATATATATATATATATATATATATATATATATATATATATATATATATATATATACAGCTTTAAGTATGAAATAATATTTATTCAAATAAAAACATACACATGTTTCGCAGAAAAAGTATTAAAGTATTTTATCTAGCTCTGCTATAATAATAACATCAGTAATTAAAGTATATAACTGTAATTATTCAATACTATTTACAACAGTTTCGCCTTGCATGCCTTTTGAAAGCTTGTTTAAACCTGGCTCATAACGTGTTTTCAGTTTCAAGCACACCTCTAGTTTTTTATTTGTTAGTTGGCTTCTATACTTTGTATTATGTTCACGTAAGAAAACGCTTGCTCGCATGAATAAGTTCACTCGAAGATCGTCAGCACTCCAAATGCTAACTTCTTCACCTTACTGTAGCATCCTACAAGACTATCCCATGCTTCACATAATAGGGCCTCAACTCGCGGCATTTCTTTTAGAGCTGTCCAGTTGTACAGTGAAACGTGCATGTTTTACTGGCCCTCCAAATCATCTAACTTGCTCTTGAGATCTGTGAACTTACCTCTCCACAAATGTTTGGGTTTCAAATCTAGCAATTTAATTTGAAGCGAACCAGCATCAATTCCAAATAGCTCAAAGTTAATCTCATTTGTTTTTGTATTGAGAGGATCTACTATGAATGTCAGAGTACTTGCATTTGTTTTGAATTGCTCAATCTCATTCATTTTGTTTATAGCAATGCTTAAGTGATTCATGTTAATAGTAGCTTTGGTTTTATCGTGATATTATTTTTCAGATTTTTTGAAATAGTTATTTACCGCTCTCCGGGTCTTCAACAAAGTTATTTTTTTTCGAAACAATCATCTTCTTCAAGCAAGGCATAGGCCGCGTTTTCCTTTCCATGCAGTTTTACATTTAGCTCGTTTAGTTTCTTTGTGATCTCCACCTTGAAGTTGAATGTTGAAATTTGGGATAGACAAGTTAATATTGAAAGTACATTGAAATATGGCGTAACTAAATATTGAAATAGAATAACTAGCGTTCATTACAGAGTGCTGCGAAACAATATTTTTATGAGTTTTGAAAATAAAATAAAACAAATATTAATATTTGTACATGGAGCTGAAGAGCCGCATCTCAACATCAAAAGAGCCGCATGCGGCTCGCGAGCCGCAGGTTGCCGACCCCTGGGCTAAGTCATCAGATTAGCGCTGAACCCAACAGCACAGAGTAACGAAAAAGACTGCATTTAATTTTAACGCTAATTAAATATTTTTGAATGCGTTCATTTTTTTAAGCTTAAAGGTGTTTATGTATACCTGTTTTAAATAATCAAATTTATATTGTGTAATTAAAAGACTTAATTGTAATAATAAAGAGAACAGTGTACTTAAAAGAATTAAACAATGTGTAATCAATGTTCTCTGGTGTGTGCGAACATTAGTTTAAAAATAAATGGTTTTGTTTTCTTATTACTTGAGGACATCGTTTATTTTTTTTTTAAATAAATAATATTTTTGATGTGCGTCTTTTCAACGAATCGTGAAACCACGTGATCCGAATCCTTGTAACACAAATTATCTATCTATGACTACACATAGATAAGCCGTCTCACATATACCAATTTATTTAACGCATTATTACTGTCTATGTAAATATAACACACTCGAGTTTACACATTTTTATGAAAAAAAAAGCAAAAATATTTTAGTAAACTCAAAACAAAAGTGTGTGTGTATCTATTTATAATACACTTCCTTATTCAAATTAATTGCAATAAAATAATGTCTTTGGTTTTTGAGTTCCTACTGTTTTTTTTGAACGAATTTACAAATTAACTCCCTTTCATTTACTTGAAAATTGCGGCGAATTTATAGCCTAAATGCTGTAGCGAAATCGAATACTCCTCTCTAAATAATGTAATCAATTGTCCCGTTGTAAACACTACAAGCCTATTGGACATATTATATTTGTATCCAACAAAAACTTTGAATTAGAGAGATAAATCTAGTTAATCTAAAATTATGACCTGATATCGATAACACGGAGAGGTAATACATTTAGACACGACTATGTCGACAATATGGACAGGGGTTATATTTAAATTTTACGCTACGTTTGTATCAGCATTTTTATTGTAATTTATCTTAAAAATTTTACAGCAACATTAAAACAAAATATTTGGTATCCCAATTGTATGTAATATATTTAAAATAATCGAAAATTTACTACCTAGAATATGTAGGTTTATTACAGATCATAATTGACAGTTACATACACTCGTTTTACACAGGAAAACATACAATAGCTTACTTGTAGAAGGCTTTTATTCACTCTCGTTTACTGTCAATACCGGCTTAAACAATCCTCATTAGCCAAGCAGATTGATAAGCACACAAGTTATACTTTCTCTCACCCATGTTACAAATCTGCAGACGTTGATTTCGACAATGTTTTAACCTATTTCCCGAGTTCACCAGACCATGTAGTTTAGACTGTTGGGACATTTGGTTAGCTCGTATATCAGGACTTGAATGTTTAGGGTGGTTCTACCGCTAGGCCACGCTTTCTGTTTTGTTACTAAAATTAAGTGGAAAATAACGGTCGAAAATTTAATTTTATGGTTCTACTTATTAGATTAAAGTAGGATGAGATTGTCGATTTGACGTATTATAAAACACTTCAAAGCTTAGTGTTTACCATCTATATATATAATTCTCTTCTTGGAGACCCTAGAAAACACAGAGCTGTAAGCGCGCACCCTACCACCCCCACCCCTACTTGTTCTAGTGAGCTGTGGTTCACGCTAAATGTTTACAATCGTAGAGCCGGGTGTAGTGATGGCTATTAGGGGCAGACAATTTAGTTTTAAACGATTTTAAACTTAGGGGAGGTAACTAAGAGGAGGCTACTTCCACGGTGGGGGGGTAGGGGTTGGGAAAGGAGGGGGGGGGGGTTATCGTCCTTAACGAGATACTGATATTGTTTTAAAGCCACGGATACGCCGCGGGTCGGCTCGTACAGATTAATTCTAGAGGAAGTGTGCGGGAAACAAAGTAACAAAAATTTATGTATTTATTTGAACAATTGTGAGTATTAGGCAAACGTGTTTGTTATCTGCGGAAACATTCCATTCACAATAGACACGACTGAGTCCTATAGAAGAAATTAATATAACCAACAAGATATTTAGAAGTTGTGTAGTGAGTTTGATTCAGGCGAGCGGGTGTATTTGTTTTCTCCACAACTAATATAGGCCTACGTCACGTGTACTAACATAGGCCTACGTCACGTGTACTAAAAAAAGTTTGTTATACTAGCATATACATCCTTAAAGGAAATGTTTTTAATTATAAATTTAACTCAAGTCTTTTCATAAAATTAACATGTTTCAGCAGACAAATTTGTGACTACAAATATAGAACAACTGCAGCCCACACTTTAAATCGTCAAATAGGTCGAAACAAACACATTAAAAAAAATTCGAATATGGAGCTTACATTTCATTTTATCAAGTTGAATAGGAGTCCCAGAATAATTTAAAACAATGTTTTAAAAAATAATGGAAAATATGACTGATGTAGATACAGCCGCTTACTTGCTTTTCATTACAAATTTATTTTAAGTATAAGCCCTAACTTCTGCTTTGTTTTTTTTAAACATATTGTCGACGATAGGTTACGTTTGACTTCTGAAAAAATATAACTTGCCCTAATCGACATATTTCCACCATATGCATTCCAATGTGTTCTTAGACAAACAAGGGTTTCTCAATTTGCGATTATCTTTCTTGATTCTTTTTTTTTTAAATCGTAAAAGAAGGGAAAAAAATCATTAATATAATTTGTAGAGGTTGTTACTACAAGCCATACAATCTAAATGTCCCTGATGAAAACAAGACATATTTCTTTCACCAAGGCTTAAGAAGCAGGAAATGTTTCTTGTATGGGCTGAGAGAAGCTTCCAGTTCAACAGACCGTGTGATTAGTTGTTGTAGTTAGATTTCCAGTTCAACAGACCGTGCGATTAGTTTTTGTACTTAGATTTCCAGTTCAACAGACCGTGTCATTCGTTGTTGTAGTTAGATTTCCAGTTCAACAGACCGTGTCATTAATTGTTGTAGTTATATTTCCAGTTCAACAGGTCATGCTATTATTTGTTGTAGTTATATTTCCAGTTTAACAGGCCCATACCATTCGTTGTTGTCCGTCAACCACATAGAAAACCATTAAAGCTAATCAGATTTAAAGACGCCTTAGGGACAAGGGGTTGAGAAATGAATTTGTATCATGCGTTAGCAGTGTTTGTGTTCCTTATTACGTTTTTAAAACGTAAATTGTTATTGTGATTAGAAAGTCTTAATAACAAGTTAAAGCCGGATTTAATATGGCTGTAACCTTGTCAGTGAATTCCCTTGAATTAAAAAAAAATACACAGGGGAGGTAATTTTAAAATTATATATTTATAAATAGAGCAAACAAAACTATGACTACATTTTACTAACCAATTCAACTAACTGAGACAATATAAGAAAATTTTTAAATGGGCAAAACACATTTTTTTTCAATAAACGGATACAGTTTATATTTACAATAGAATGTGTGTTTAAAATGAGGCTAAAACAAAAATGTATGACACTAAATTTTTTAAAAAATTTAATAATTATATAAAATCTTGAGTACCCTCTGCGATATGGATTGTATTTATGGTATTTATTTAAAATTTTGGATCCCTATTTAGGGATATCTTGAAAAGAATTACAAATACGATCACATGCTGATAAATCAGTATGTACATACAGGCTATAGAGATGTTTGATATACCAGATGTCGTGCAAGTACTGCCATGCTTCCAAAATTTGAGCAAAATCTGAGATACGAGGAGCCATAGCCGTGGTTTGATGATCCGTTAAAAAGAAAGCCCCTTAAAGCTGCAACTGGACGTGCGTCAGAGCTTTTTAATGTTCGACAAAAAAACAAAACAATTTTAAT